GCAGCTCGACCCTCTGGTCAGCTCGGCAACTAATAGGCAGCTCGGCCCTCTAGTTAGCTCGTCACCTAACCTGCCTAGCTCGGCCCATTCACCTCGTCACCTAACCTGCCCAGGTCGGCCCAGTTAACTCGGTACCTAATCTACCCCCAACTCAGCCTGGTCATCTCGGCATACAGGTCCTCATCCAGCAAAAGTTCACTTCGGCCTCTGAGTCATCGACCACTTGGAAGCAGACCAAATGATGAGGTACTTAGCATAAAAAATTGATACATCACCAAAAATTGATTCATCAATTGGTGTCGTCTATGGGAAACGCTACAAAAAGCTAAGTTCTCATCCTCCGAAAGGCTAAGTCCTCTTCTTCCAGAAAGCCAAGTTCTCACCTTTTAGAAACTAAAATCTCTCACTTTCTAGTTTCCATTTTTTATGAACTCAAAGACTATGCAGGAAGTTGATGGCCAACAGACTAAGCAGCTCTACCAACTTTATTTTAACTCGGATAAAGCCTCATCATTCCTCTTCGGGAGGTACTCTCTACAAAGATGAGCTCTGCATGGCTTCCGTGGGAGTAGGCGGCCAACAAACTGCATGGACACCCCTACCATTCGAGCCTTCCAAGGCTCTCGTGCGAGCTAGTGACCTAAATTCAGTAGTGTTGCGCCCGTAGGTCGAGCTCCTAGTAGCTTCTTGTATGAGTGGGTAACCGACGTCACTAATGAGGCTGATGCAATGCAGCCGTAGCTCTAAGGCGTCGAGCTGATAAAAGACCTCGGCACCACATAAGACCCAATCGCCTCTTCGGCATGGGCAAAATCAAAGATCAAGGAGAGTGAACTACGAGTCGCTCCCAAAGCCTAAGGGCTAAAGTGCCAAACTGGCAAAGACTTCGGCGCCACATAAGACCCAGTCGCCTCTTCAGCATGGACAAAATCAAGGGTAAGGAGAGTGGACTGCAAGTCGCTCCCAGAGCCTAAGGAATTGAATCAACACTTACGAGCTCACTGAATTAGTCATTTCATGCCAAAAGGAGCAATCTATTCCCTTCGCCGAGATACTTTCAGCTCGGGAGTGGGGGAAAAATGATGAGGGCGGATTTGGCCCTCCAATGATATTGTGACACATGGAACTTTGAAACAACTAGGTGACACCTAGAACCACTTAAGCAACAACTTGCCTTAGCCAAGTTGATGGTGTCCCACCTAGCGGCCTAGCCTAGGCGCGAACTGGCGGCCTGGCCCAGGCGCCGACCTGGCGGCCTGCACTAAGCACGAATTGGCAGCCTGGACCAGGAGCGAACTAGCGGCCTGGCCCAGGTGCGAACTGGCGGCCTTGCCCAAGCGTGAACTGGCAGCCTGGCCCATGCGCGACCTGGCGGCCTGGCACGAGCGCCGACCTAGTGTTCTGGCCTAGGTGCGAACTAGCGGCCTGGCTTGGGTGCCGACCTAGTGGCCTGGCCTAGGCGCGACCTGGCAGCCTGGCCTAGGTGTGAACTGGTGGCCTGGCACATGTGCCGACCTGGCGACCTGCGAGACGTGCTCGTCGACAAATTTGGCATGCATATCCTAACACTCTTACGATCCTTGGAAGTTGGTCCACGTGCCGAACGATCTGGAGGTTGGTCAACATGCATGGCGGATGCCTGAGGGAATCTCGGACCACTTAAACAACTTCTCGGAAATCTCGGATGCGGTGCGTGAAGCCCACACCAAACAATGTCTATATAAAGGCACCAACCCCAATGGCATAGGGGGGGGCAAGTAAGCATATTGTAGCTCTCATACTTTGTGATTTTTAGCTCACAGTCTACTATGAGAGTACCGACTTAAGCATCGGAGCGACCTTGCCGGGTTAGCCACCCTGGGTCCTCTGACATTGATTCCTTGTAGGTCTCTAAAGAACTACGAAGCTCAACAATCAATCCAGCTCGCCACCAGGCAGCTCAACCCTTTGGTCTGCTCGGCAACTAATAGGTAGCTCGGCCCTTTGGTCAGCTCGACAACTAATAGGTAGCTCGGCACTCTAGTCAGCTCGGTAACTAATAGGCAGCTCAGCCCTCTGGTCAGCTCATCACCTAACCTGCCAAGCTCGGCCCAGTCACCTCGTCACCTAACCTGCCTAGCTCGGCCCAGTCACCTCGTCACCTAACCTGCCTAGCTCGGCCCAGTCAGTTCGGCACCTAACTTGCCCAGCTCGGCCCAGTTGACTCGGCACCTAATCTACCCTCAGCTCGGCCTGGTCATCTCGTTATCCAAGTCCTCATCCAGCAAAAGTTCACTTCGACCCTTGAGTCATCGGCCACTTGGAAGAAAACCAAATGACGAGGTACTTGGCACAAAAAATTGATACATCACCAAAAATTGATTCATCAATTGGCATCGTCTGTGGGAAACGCTACAAAAAGTTAAGTTCTCATCCTTCGAAAGGCTAAGTCCTCTTCTTCCAGAAAGCCAAGTTCTCACCTTTTAGAAACTAAAATCTCTCAGTTTCTAGTTTCCATTTTCTATGAACTCAAAGACTATGCAGGAAGTTGATGGCCAACAGACTAAGTAGCTCTACCAACTTTATTTCAACTCAGATAAAGCCTCATCAGTCCTCTTCGTGAGGTACCCTCTACAAAGATGAGCCCTTTGTGGCTTCCGCGGGAGTAGGCAGCCAACAGACTGCATGAACGCCCCTACCGGCTGAGCCTTCCAAGGCTCCCGTGCGAGCTGGTGACCTAAAGTCAGTAGTGCTATGCCCATAGGTCGAGCTCCTAGTAGCTTCTTGTAGGAGTGGGTAACCGACGTCACTAACGAGGCTGATGCAACGAAGCCGTACTCTAAGGTGTCGAGCTAGTAAAAGACATAGGCATCACATAAGACCCAATCACCTCTTCGGCATGGGAAAAATCAAGGGTAAGGAGAGTGGACTACAAGTCGCTCYCAGAGATTAAGGAATTGAATCGACGCTTACGAGCTCACCAAATTAGTCATTTCAGGCCAAAAGGAGCAATCTACTCCCTTCGCCGAGATACTTTCAGCTCGAGAGTGGGGGGCAAATGATGAGGGTGGATTTGGCCCTCCAATGATATTGTGACACATGG